CAAAATACGAAAACAGAAAACAGGGAAAAACTGAAAAAAGAGGCTGTGGCCTGCCGGGCGCTTGGCGAGATATAGGGCGCCCACCGAATACCTCTTCATGTGGTTCTAAATAAAAAGAATATCTCTTCCTGTCGGGGCTGACAAGCATTCAAAGGGGAAAAAACTTGTACTATAATTGTTTCTAAAAATTATTCCTTTGTATACTTAGCAACTTCGCAAGTTACTCATCTACTTGTTCCTTTTCTTTTAACGAGAAAGCTATTCTCCTGCCGACTGGCAGTTAGCGACAGATACGTCTGATCGCTCCCATCTGCTTTTTTCCCTTTGATCTTTCTTTATGATCGCTCCCGCGCCCGCTCGCATTTTTTTCCTTCGATCTTTCTTTCTGATCCTGTCGCTCCTGCCCGCCCTTTTTTTCCTTCAGCCCTATTTTTTTTTCAGCGCTAAAAAATATATAATTGCTACATGTAGGATTCAAACCTAGCACCTGTTGTGTTTTTACACATCATCCTTACCATTACAACAACTAGTACTGGTTGTTCTCTATCAAAAGATAACGATGTATTTGTACCTTTTTACTACTATATGAGAAAAGAAATGAAAAAAAAAATCTTGTTCTTTTTCTTTGGATTTCTCCAATAACTCACTTACAATCATCATGATATCTAGTTTCATGAGTCTCAAGTTGATAACATCCTCTTAATTTTCGTGCGGGGGTGGGGGTGAGGGGGGAGTTGATGAAACGTCCACTCGATAACTTTTTGTGTGAACAACATGGTAACTCACACATCATAGACCTGATAACTCGCATATCACAGATCTGATAACTTAAACAACTTAGTCCTGATAACTTTGGCTTAGGGGTGGGTGTTGATGAAACATCCCCCGGAAACTTTTTGGTGTGAATAGCATGATAACTCATACATCGGAGACCTGATAACTTATGCAACCCGGTCTTGATAACTTTTTGGCCAATAGAGGTGATGAAATATATTCCGATAACTTTTATGTGAATATATGTATGTCATTTACAGCCCCGGCGTATTGAGGCCGCTTGAAGACCCCGCTCACCCGAAGTGATTTATAAAATTCTTCTTTCTATCACAGTAACTCACACGTCGCTAACCTGATAACTTATGTGCATAGGTCTTGGTAAATTTGGCGACCGGGTGGAGGGAGGCACGTTCATGAAATACCTCTTGGTTATTTTTTGTGCGAATAGCTTGATAACTCACACATCGCAGGCCTGATAATTTTGGGAGAAAAAGATGTTGGAAACAAATCTTGATGCTAGTAGTTTCCATATTGCAGTTTCGACTGTGTAGTTTTATAGCCTAAAAAATCATGATAAAGCCGATAATTAAACTCAAGACTTCAATATTGAGATCTTAACACACTAGCCAACTCACCCACTACTTGGCTCCTGACAAGTTCAAATAAAATACCACTTTTTTTACCATCTGAGGTGAACAAATTGTTAAAATATACCCCCGGTAGCTTTCTGTGTAAATAAGATGATAACTTATGTACAATTAACATGATAACTTACATATAAACACATTGATAACTTTTCACCTTGGGCGAAAAGTTCTAGAAATATGCCCTGATAACCTAGTGCAAATAGCATGGTAATTTACGCACTAGACACCGGTAACTTACATACAACACATTTGATAACTCTTTACCCATGTGAAAAAACGTTACTGAAACATGTCTCCGTAACTTTTTGTTGTCGAAATATACCCCAGTGTGAAGTTACCACTACCCCATGCTAAAGTTATCGTGCTTCTCATCGTATAGTCATTAACCTTCTCATATTATAGTTATCAGGCTTATCATAGTATAGTTATCATGTTGCTCAAGTCATAGTTATCACGCTGGTCATGCCAAAGTTATCAAGCAAAAACAATTATTATCGCTGATACTGAAAAAAGAAAGGTTAAAATAACCTTGTTTATATTCAATAAACAACAACTAATGGTGGCTTAGTTGGTTATTGGGCTCAAACTCTAATGAATAGACCTGGGTTCAAGTCTCCTTTCCAGCACTTTTTTTTTTGCGAGAGGAAGCCGGGTTACGGTCGTGCGGATCTGTCGCTAACGACCAGTCGACTGGTCGTTAGCACAGTCCTTCTTTTAAACGCATTGCGGCATTCATAAACACTTTTCTTACTAGTAAATTGTACGTGCTTTGCACGCTATTTAAATATATATAAAAAGCATGGGAAAATACATTTGAATATGTATTATCTTTCCTAGAATCCTATCGAACAAGATCCAACTTGGTTCTTACCTTTATAAAATCCAGATTGTTCTAGACTCTGTTTATTAGAATATCAGATAAGCATGTGAATAGATGCTTCTAAAACACATGAGATGGTTGAGTTGGGGGTTCAATTAGAAGGCCACGTGGCAGAATCCTATAAGTTGAAAACTATATCCAACGGATGATAATGCTCGGATTTGCCTTCTCTTGACCGTTGGATGAACATATCCAACGATCAATATTTAAAGCTATTGACACACTATATAATGGTATAGATATGTGATGAAGTCATGAAGGCACGTCAAAGGTGCGAGTTGGACGACGAAGACTCGTGAGAAACATAAACACGTCCATGCCGCACCACAGGGACCACTGGCAGTTGTTCACAGCCGCACCTGTCCCCTTCAGAAAAGTCCAAGCCACCAACGAATACACACTACCCAAACTACCCCTACAGTCCTGTGGAGGTCGCCACAGCCCACGGTACTCTTTCGTCCACAAGTCGCACTCGCGCGTCCGGCAGCTCGTCAGGCCCACTCGATGACCACTGGGCCCTACGTCAGAGCATACTCTCGCTCCTCGTCGTAGAGGTGGACAGGGCAGCAGCAGCTGCTCAGGGCCCGGGAGCAGGTGAATATTCAGGCTTTGCGAGCTCCAAGTTCACGACGTACTCCAACTTTCTGTAGCTCTAGCAATTTTTGCGTCCAGCGGCTTGGTCGGGGCCCATACTGAACTGCTACCGGATTCAAGTCCCTTTCCAGTTGTTAGGACGTTTGCGGCGACGACCCTGGAGAGACGCAGAATTACCAAGCAAGGGCTTTCTCTCGAGAAAACGCCGATGAGTGTCCCATGTTTGCAGGTGATGCATATGCGGAAGAAAGACATAAACAGGCTATAGAGCCCGAGTGTGTTCTACATCGTTTTGATCTATTATAATGAGCTATGCTGGCGGAGCTCATACACAGAAAAACAACGATCTACGCACCGAGTGTGGACTTAAATAGCTATGCATCCCACGACGAAGCAGAATATGAGTTGGGCATCTCATTTGGGACAAACCCTTCTACTCCAATGAAGAACACGTCGATGAGATGCCTTTAAGAATGAATTCTTGTATGATCTCGAACACAAAAAATTGGAACGCATGTAATGTTGGATTGTCCACTCAAAATAATCAACACACTTTTTATAGCAATAGAGAGAGGGCCTTGATCTTCGTGAGGTTTAAGCTCACACTACGTTTCTTACAAACTCAATGACAAAAGAATGTGTTTCAAAGAAAATTGGCAGCTCCAAACTTTATAGCCGAAAAGACCACCGTAGGATAGTATAAATTCTGTAGAATATGTTGTGATAATTCAAAGTCAAAATTATGTTCAATGTGCGTTGCAGCACTGCAAAAGTATGTTTAAGCTAACATGACAGTCTTTTTCCCAGGGGTGGATGCATGATCATGCTGGGCAAACCCTTTTTTTTTGTGATTTATATATCTTCCCCACTTTAGCATTTATCCTACGTGAGAGCATGCATCTCCAACGCTGAGTTCTAAAATGAACTCAATCTTTGTCCGCAGACACTGATGTGGGAGCCAACTATTCAATCATGTCCCATAAATGTCCATCTATACATGTGCATGTCATGGTTGAAGAGAGAGAGAGAGAGAGGGCATGCCCAACGTGTTGGTTTTTGATTGGCTAGACGTATGTCCGGACTCCCCTAAAGCCCTCAAGTTTGTTCATATATAGTTTAACGGAATTTAGACGTCTGGACTAGTTCGCGGATGTTTGAGGGATATCATTGGATGACAAAAGGCGTTTAGAGTCTCGCAAATGACATAATGTGCTACATAAAGGTCAGCGTTGAAGATTTCCTGACACTTCTAAGATAAAACTATTATACACGCCTAACACAAATGAGAGGGCGAGGGGCGAAGAAGGCCTAGTCATTATTCTGCTCAGGATGGCTCCGTGCTTCACAACTTCTATATCCATCTCAAAAAAAGATGGATATATCTTTACAACTCGGGTTTACATCCTAACCAGAAAAGAGAAGCAGCGCCGGTACATGGCTCGTGCAAAAGCGGACCAATCAGCACACAACTGCCACCGCCTTTCGGGCCGCACTGCTGCCATGCCCCATGCACACCCATGCACGGCGCATGTGCCGCCCCACATGCGTCCCGGAAAACCTCGGGGGCTAAAGTACAAAAGCGCGAATAAATAGCAGCAAAGCAAAGCCCCATTTTTAAACCTAGTTATATATTTTTCTCCTCGTCACATCGTCCTCTTTAACGTTCATATTTCCCACGCGGCCCATCTCTCCCAAGTCCGTCCGTCCGTCCGATCCCCCGCCGCAGCGAGCCGACCCCACCAGTCCAGCCCCCCTCGACCCCCGCCCCCGTCGCCGGCGCCCCGGAAAACCCCGCCCCCCCACGCCGCTTGCCGGACCTCGCGGCTCGCGGCGAGCATTTCGAGCTGCGGCTCGCCGGGGACCGCGCCGGATCCAGCGGGGCAGGCTCGGCGGTGCCGCGGGCTGCCGCTGCGGTCAGCGCAGATCCGTGCCTCTGCGCTGGGAATTTGAGGGTGTCGGCTCCCGGTTGGACTCGGCTTGAGTTGATTTCCGCGGGTTGGTGGAGGTAGGTTGGTGTGTGGGGAAGCTGGTGGGCGGCCGTGGTACATGAGAGCCAGAAGCCCGCGCCGCCGCTGCGTCTGTGGTTGGGGAGCTCTCGCGGCGCCATGATCGAGCAGTTCGTTAATTTCGTCATCCGCCCGCCACGGTAACCAACCGCCTTGCTGGCTTTTCTCACTGCTTTGCCAAGTTTCAGCTGCACTAGGTCGAACGTGCTACTTTTGACTTTTGTTGTCATAATATAATGATAGCTAGGTGCTTTAGATGGTCATACTTTGCCCTCTAAGTACGAGTTTACTGTGATTCCTCCATCAAGGCATTATCCAAGCTTGTGGAAAATTGCTGTAATTTTTGGCCTCTCATAGTAATGTTACCAATGCTCAAACTGTAAGCCCTAACTCGACAGCGTGTAAGTTCCGTGTTCAAAGTACAAAAGGTTAAGCAAGCGTAGGAGCCAAACCTTGTTGGTGAAGCCTTGCTATTGAGCATCGTCTACTAGTTTTCGAGGTGGACAAGTATCTCTTCTTAATCACAAGTTTTGCAGTGCCAAAGACGCAAAGTTAAACTGATCTTGAAGACTAAATGGTAGCTGCAACGAACTTTTGCATTCTTTTAACACGTGTGGTTTCAACTCAGCCGCGCTTCTCTTAAATTTAATTTATGCCTTTTCTTAAGACGCATGAAAGTGGAAGTCAATGCTCCCAGAACTTTGGTATTCATCAAGTGATATCCTCTGTTTGTGTGTGTGTGTGTGTACTGATGTCAGCTGGTTAACTGGATGTATATTTACAGTGCAGAGTACAACCCAGATCAGTATTTATGGGAGCCAGAGTTTACTCTGGCAGGAAGAAAGTACAAACGAATAGATTTGGAGGCAAGTAAGGGGAGCAGTTATTGAGGCTTTTTGCTGTGTACCATTTGCCAATGAAAAGACTTTATGCTGATTATCAACATTATTGTATATTGGACTTATTCTTGTACCTGTATGTTGTAGCAGCTTTCCAATGAAAGAAACCAGACCTTAAAATGCAGCCACTATGTTCCTGCCGTCATCCCAGAAAACACTGCCCTTCCATGTGTGATCTACTGCCATGGGAATAGGTACTCGCGGTTTCTCGCTCATGGGTTCTCTTTATCCTATACATGTTACATTCTACCATTTAACAATTAACACATAGTGATTTATCGGCATTAATCATGGCATCTGTTTCTTTTCACGTTTGGTGCATACCTTAATTAATCACCAATAATGCTGGCCAATTGATAGTTTCTTTAAACCTAATGCAGTGGGTGCAGAGCAGATGCAAACGAAGCTGCTGTCATACTTTTGCCTTCAAACATTACACTTTTTGCACTTGATTTCGCTGGATCAGGGCTATCAGGGGGAGAGTATGTCAGCCTTGGTTGGCACGAGGTGCATATTCATTATTAATTTCAAACAACATTTTCATAATTTAGTAATTGCACTGTTCTGAAAAAGGATACAACTATCAGAAACAGGATCTCAAGTCCGTGGTGTCCTTTTTGCGGAAGAATAAGGAAGTCTCTTGCATAGGTCTTTGGGGGCGTTCGATGGGTGCTGTTACAAGGTATTTTGGTTACAGTGTTTGCGCTTTCTACCATTTTGCAAATTTCAGTGTCCTATTTCTCTTGATGCTATATTGTCTTTTGTAAGTGTTCAGATATTACAACATAATAAATTTATGTACCTTAAGAGTTTCTCTGTATTATTGAAATATCCTGATATTTGGTAGTACTTTTGTCCACAAAATATCTTAAAGGTTTAGGTTTTAATGCGTGGAATTGTATTTTGATAGTTCATCACTTCTTTGTCCAAACTTTGATGCAGCCTGCTGTATGGAGCAGAAGACCCCTCAATTGCTGGCATGGTTTTGGACAGTGCTTTCTCTAACTTGTATGAGCTAATGCTAGAGCTTGTTGATGTTTACAAAATCAGAGTTCCTAAGTTCACGGTATGCTTATCTCCGCATAATATTTTTCTTCACTGTTATGATTGAGCTGATTTTAAGAGAGGTGCACTTTCTGTAGTTGATAAAACATAGACTTTGACGAAACATAGTTTACATGCTAATTGGTGATTTATTATGCATAAGTGTCATTGTAGCTGTGCTCAAACTATCTGCTGTATGTATACACAAAAAGTGTTGTATGTGCGAAAAGAAATGTACCGTGTTTACGTCCAGGAATAATACAAACCTTACAATGAAAATTTCCAATTCTAGAAGTCTTCCAGCACTCGTTGGTTTGGTTTGCATGGCCCTAGTGTATCCTATGCCATCTCTATTCTTAAATCTAAGTTGCCAGGGAAGCAAACTTCGAATAAGCTATAGATGAATTTGTGTACTAACTTACTTGCAGGCAATACATAACATGAACATTTTACTGCCGTTCACGTTCTATTTGTTTTCAGGTTAAGATGGCTGTACACTACATGCGCCGTGTCATTCAAAGAAGAGCTAAATTCGACATAATGGATCTTAATGTTGTTCAGGTTTGCCTTCTAAAATAGTATATTCTTCTTGCTAATAACTAATGAAAAGTGATAGGAAGTGTTTGTTCCCGTTGCAACAATATGATGTTCCATATCGGTAATAGTAATGTACTAATGTGCACTGGATATGACTATGCAAAAGAGTACAGTTAGAAAGGAATAGCTTAGCCTATTTATGCTCATATATCTCCAAAGGATTGTAATGCAAAAAGAATGTTTTGTTGTATACTCATTGCATGTCGAAGGTGGAATATATTGGGTTCTTGGGGGGAAAACGGCTACACTTTGCCACTGTTGACTCAATTCTAGCAGTTGTGTGAGTCGCAGCTTGAATATTGGGGGGATGCTTTGAGTGGTTTCCACACATGAAATATCTCTTCAGGCAAAATTCCACTGGAGACTGTTTTATGCAACTGGGTAATTCATATGTTATGAGCCTAGCAGTTAGACTCGTTTCCCAGCAGGTTTCTGTGGCAATGCCATGGTAACTTGGTCTCCCAAAGTCCATTGCAAGAAACACGTACCACGCATCTGCTGTTGGTACAATGCCTGTCTTGGACCCAAGATGACAACATTGAATTGGTTTCCACCTTTTTTGTATTGCTTGGTTTAAGAAACATGTAGATGTAGCTAAAATGCAGAGAAGTGCTAGCTTAAGTAATTCAACTGATCCTATGGACGGGAGCAGCAAGAATGTGGAAATATTTTGGACCAATGCTTACTGAATGAATACAACAACAACAACAACAACTGATCAATCAAAGAGAACTAAGAAAATTCATGTTCGAGTGTCATTTTCTGCAGCCGAAAGGTGTATGTTACTGGGTAGTTGACAATCAGCTCATGTACAGAGTTCATAAATTTACAAGAAGGAATGAAACCAATTCTTTATTCTTCACACTTCTGGTTGAGAGGTATCTGTCTAAGTGGACTATGAAGTAGTAGTACACAGAGGTCAAGATGATGCGGTGCAGATGCAGCTCGTAGAAGAAACTTATCCACCAGGAACCAAGGGCTAAAAGGCAAAAAGGAGGAAAAAATCACAAATGACCATTGTTTGGTAGTCTGTCACATGATGATACTTTATTATGGGAGTAGATGGAATGTCTTGAAGCAGCACATGCAAGGGGAGAATGGGCTATTGCAAAGGACTAAGAACTCTTAATGGCTGACACCACTTCTTTGAATAATTTTCAGAGGGTAGTGCCGGTCATTAATAGTTCTTTGTTATTACCTCTTCTATCTTGCATGTGCTGCTCTAAACTTCTGTTTTGAGAGTCTAAGTTACACGCATGCCATCATATTTATTATTCAAGTTCGAAAGGCCTGCATTTCACAGCAAAGTTGAACCATCATGTGATAGACTACCAAAGATGAGCCCTCTATGGTTTTTTCCTTTCTTCTTTTGCTTTTGCAGCTTTGTTACTTGGTGGATGAGTTTCTTTCGCAATCTGCCTCTAGATGTATCATTCCTTTTTATCATCGTTCTTCACCTTTTGTAGCTCCTAGTCTGGTAGGCTGGTTCCATAACTCTATGCACTAGTAGACAAGTGTGAAGCAACTACTTTATTTCCTTGCACGTTTCGTGAGCCCTGTCCATGTCTCAGTGAAGGTCGCAAACTGCCGACTGACATACACCTCTTGGATTTGCACTAAATACGCTAAAACAGACAAATATATAACCTTTTGTTAGGCTTTTCTCAGTGTTCCTTACAATGTTTGGTTTGTCTTCTTCGATTGGGTAGACTGTTGTATTTTTCACATCTTTTACCAAAACACTTCTACTTTCTTGATGTTCTCATCGATAGGATCAGTTGTCTTATTTAACCAAGCACTTAATTGCATCCATAGTACAGCTACACCGTTACATGCTTCTTCAACCAAAAAATAGCAGCAAGAAAAAATATGCATAAGTGCTAACCTGTCTGATGCTGTCCTCTTGGGTGCAAGACAAGAGCCATCTACTGGCTTTCCTTGTTATCCTTTTCATCTTCTTTTCTATCGCACTCGTAAAATTTTGAATGTTTTCATTTTTGTTTGGAATGGACTCTTGTGTAACCAACGCCCTAGAAATCTTGTGATAATTGATTAGCTTAGGATACATATGGCTGTTAGAAGTTCATTAGATACTATGAATATGGGTTTTCATTTAGCAAAGAATCCACGTCGAACGTTTATCATGGAAGGTTGTGACTCTGTATCACACATAATTATTGTGAATATATGGGAGACAAGTGAAATAGCTTCTCAGTGGCAGTACCTGTTGAACTAATCACGAATGTATTAGTTAGTTACATGCAGAACGCCGTCACCTGCTTAAGACTGTCAAAATCAATTAGCTAGTTGCATTGGAAAACCGTCCCTAGATTCAGGCAATGATTGGGCGTGGGAACCTCTTCAAGTTACAGCTCCGACACAATTGCTAGTCTACTAGTTCCTACGATGGTGAAGTGAACCCATTTTCACCCAATATATACCTGCCAACCTTAGTTAGAGATGGCATAGTTTTTTTTTTTTGACGTGGAGATGGCATAGTTGTCTTAGCTGTGATCACTGACGTTAAGCACTAGGAGTACTCTTTCAGTTTTATTCGTAACATTCTTTTTACATAGAATTAGTTGACTCATTGTGATTTCTTGTTATACTGAATTAGTTTTATTTGTTTATTACCACCTTTTTCTGGATGCGTGACAAGCTTTACCCTTTTTCTTCACCAGTTTGCCCCCAAGACGTTTATTCCGGCATTATTTGGACATGCATCGAGTGACGTGTTTATTCAGTCCCATCACACTGATCGTATTCATCAGGCGTATGCGGTATCATGCTTGCTTTACATTGGCTGATCAAAAGTAATAATTTGTGGTGATCGATCCTACTGGGCATATTTTATTCATGTATTTGTATGTCTCTGCAGGGTGATAAAAATTTAATCAAATTTGATGGCGATCACAACTCCGCTAGGCCCCAGTTTTATTATGATTCTGTTTCAATATTCTTCTATAATGTTCTGAATCCACCTCAATTTCCGTCTGCATGCTCAAATAAGCTAGAGAAGTACTATAACCGTGGGGCTGGAACTAATGAGGTAATTTTTCTCTTCACTCCTATTAAATCCTACATCAGACCTTCTGCTTGCTGTTATGGGAACCCTGAAACCTTCCCAAGGAAATTACCTGTCAATTAACTTGACTTTTTCAGAGCTTACTGTATGAGATCATAAATGGTCTAAGGGCTGCTGGTACTGATGCAGGAAGTTCATCCGCAGCTGCAGCTAGTTTCACTAATGGTGCGGCCCAGTCCCCTTAGTAGCTGCTGGTACTCACGAGTTACCTCTTGCTGTTCACTCACTCTTATTTCATTGTTTCAGCCACAAAATCAGTAGTTGAATTGCTGACGGAGAGGGTAAATCAACTGTCCGTTAAAAATGATAGTGACTTGGTAAGTTGACCAGACCATCAGTGGTAGATTAGCCTCATCAGTGGTAGATTAGCCTCTTGCACCAGAAATCTGAGGTCATATATCCTCATTTGAATGCAGGATTTCCTTTTGGACGAAAATCATAACCTCACTGAAATGGAAGAGAACACTGCAGAGTCTCATACACAGGTAAAATTTGACGAGGCTTTGTTTTATTTCAAGCTGGTTGATTGTTTTGCCACTGTTAAATGCAGCACTGCACTCTATAAAAAATCTATCACTACATATGACATGATGCAGCCTGCCCATCTCTGTGATACTAAATTTCTTGTGTCACTATACAAGGATGATGACAAATTTCATTGGTTTCCTACATTTAGGCTACTTTCTGAGAAATGATCTTGTAATCTTACTGACGAGAGGTTATATTCCATTTTAGGATAAGGCGAGCAGGCAAAATGAGGAGTGCTGCTCATACACAAGTTCAAACCGAGAGAGCTGGGGAAGATGTTCTTCCTTAGGGGCAGCGAGTGATGCATCATCCTCCGGCGAGCGTCCTAGGGTTTCTGATCATAAGCATAAGGTACATGTATTTTTCAATTTACATGTCTTTCAGACACACATAATTGCTGTAAACTAAATATCAAAGAGGCACATCATAATATATACTTATATGCCAACTTGACAAGGGTTTTACTGGCATACAGATTTTCTTTACAACCCTTTAAGGGAAAGCTTGTTATGATCGGCTCAATACTAAGTTGGCAATATTTTATAGAGTATTGACAATATTTTATTCCCAAGAGACAAGTTCTCATAGTTCAGATCTCCTCATTTGTTCCCAAACTGCAGAGCATGACACTAAGAGCTCTGGCGACGCCGTTGAGACGGATACGAAGGAAACCACTCACCATACCAAAGGAGAGGAAGAACAGGTCTCTATGGAAGAGGCTAAACCAGGAGAGGCATGATATGGGGGAGAGCTTAACCCAGCGTTTCAGGCTGTGCCTCCAGGGCCAGGCTCAGCACAAGAGAACAAAGTCGTCTTGACAACTGTGAATACTCAGTTTAACCCAGACAAAACTGCTAGGAACACGATGATTCACCGACGAAATGCGCCTTGATTCTGACCTCTGGGCGCCAACCCTGCTGCATACTCACCACTGAATCTGTGAAGCCGGCCACGTAACTGTCTGCCTTTGTTCCTCAGATTTTTCCACGTTGCTCTTGTAGATCCTGAGTTTGTAGAATTGTAGTGTGACCCCTCCTGGTGTGGGGAAGGAACCGTGCATATCAACAGATCAGTAGGTTTTCGAGTTTAAATTGTATTGTTACACAACACGTCATTTGTTTGTTGTTTGGGAACCTTATTACTTCGTGCTATCTGGTTAAGGGGCAGATTGCCCATGAACCGTAACAAGCCTCTTGCTTGAACCGTCTGGTGCCTGGTGTAAAGTCGCCTTCAGGCGAAGCAACCATCGGAGACGAAAGTTTGATCTATTCCGTTCTTGTTCGTGTAAGTGATGAGACATTTCTATTGTTAGAACATGATGGATGGGAGTGTTGTAGCTGTGATGACAGAATGACACCATTCTGTTGTCAGAACATGATGACAGTGCTAACTATGAAAGTTCCTCTTAATTTTATCAGTTTTGCTAGAACTCATCTAGATGAAATATAATTTGGTCTCATTCATCTTTTATAGTCATTGGATGTGATGCTATAAGATGCGTGTGTACTGATGTGGATTGTATTTGTTCTTGTTTTTAAAGTGAATGAGACCAAATTATTTCTCATCTAGATGAGTTCTAGGTACTCCCTAATTTTATGGCTATAGGGCTATGTCAATCAAAAGTCTGAGAAAATCTAGGCAGCCTAGCAAGCTCATAAGCAACCATATTTGCTTCTCCGTAGTACTACAATGCAACCATATATGAGCTCAAGAGGAATTGTTGGTATTTTACTGACTGCCGAACGGACGCTAAGTTGTTGGTTGGCTCCATCGGTCCACGGAAGTTTAGTGAGTGGAAAGTTGGAACCAAAGGAGGGTTGACCTCGCAACCCACGACGAGAAACGGGTGACAGCTACCAAAGGTTCCATTTCTAAACGGGAAGTCAAGCTGTTCCATCGATTCCAAGTTCCACCTCGCAGCAGCATCTCGATCCAGCCCACCCTGCTAACCTGTCCACGCACCACCCAGCTACCAATGACACTAGCATAGCATAACATAGGCGCATCCTGATCTCCCTCACCCCCGGCGAACCAGCTCCATCAACCAAAAATGGCGCCACCACCACCCAAGAATCCTATCTTGTCCACATACCACCTCCGCTTCCTCCTCCTTGCGTCTGCCGCCACCTTCTCCGCCGCCTTTTCCTCCCACTCCTACTCCTCCGCCTCCCCCTCCCTGGCACCCGCTGTTTCCTCCCACTCCTACTCCTCCGCCTGCCCCTCTCTGCCACCCGCTGCCGACCGCCACACCGACGCCGACGACGCCCTTTCACTCACCCGCTCATTCCAGATAGAGAACGGCCACTTCTCCGCCGCCACGGACAGCCTCTTCTCCGTCGACGGTCACCTCCACGGCAGCTATCGCTCCTTCTCCCTTTACCCCCGCCATGTCCTGCGCACCACCGACCCGACTCTCGTCCACCTCATCGCCGTCATCATCCTCATCGGCCCCCGGAGCGGTGATTACGCCGTCGTCGAGGCCGCCGAGTCCGTCTCCTTCGACCTCGACGGTTACTACTCCTTCGCCTCGCTCCAACTCTGCATGGCAGGGGCGGGGGCAGAGCGCGCTGCCAACGGCCGTCCAAAGTACTACGAGGCCGTCGCCCTCAGCCTCCGCATCCCTAGCCCTTTCAGCCTCACCGATCCCTTCGTGACCGGCAGCCTAGATGGATCCTCCGACTTCGAGCCCATCCAGCTGCTCGCGTACGCGGACGGCCACGGCCACGACTACAAGTACCGCGAGCGCTCCCCTTGCGACCCACCGGTGCAGCTAGCCAGGGGCTCGCTCCGGGCGCTCGGCGGCAGCTACGCGTGCGCCTACTTGAAAGAGCGGCTCGTGACCTCGTACAGGCTGCTGGATCACGAGGGCGGCTCCCCGGCCAAGCTTCCCTGGATGCACGTCAGCCAGATGCAGTGCAACGAGGACGGCGCCCTGCGCGCCTACATGGTGGTCTCCAACGACACCGGGTCCGTGAGGCGTGAGCACCGTCAGTTCTACCACCTCCTGGCCGATGAGGAGGCGCTCGTGGCCGACGGGCACTGGGACCCGGCTCAGGACATGTTCTGCCTTAGAGCGTGCTGGGTGGCGCCGTCAACCCTGGCGGTGCGCGAGTGCGGGATCGGGATGAGCTTCTGGTTTCCGGCCACATGGACGGTCCATGAGCGGAGCGTCGTGGCCGGCGTGCTCTGGAACTCGACTCAGGGGAGGACCAGCAGCCTCGACGCCGGAGCAATCTCAGGTGTGATGTCGGCCTTCAGCATGGACGACCACAGAAGAAACATCTCCGACGTGCAGTACAAGTACAACGACACGATGCTTGAGGTGGCCAAGAAACACTATCTGAAGATCAGCAAGGAGGAGAAGATCAAGGGGTCCTTCCCAGTCCCGGGTAAACATACCACTTACCATGACTTGAGCCTCCGGTTCTGGATGTTCGGGGCGAACATTAACGCGGTTACCGTGAGGGGGGACGCCTACCCAGTCACGATCGGCTCGGTGATGACAGGAGAGGAAATGCTCATGACCACCCAGGTCGACACGAAGCACCTGCACGATCCGCTGAACGTCAGCTACGACATACACTATTATGCTCCACTGGGCAATTCCTACTCGTATAGTAGCCAGAAGGAAGAGCGAAGAATCTCGGCCGAGGGCGTTTACGATCCCAAGAAGGGCGTCCTGTGCATGGTCGGCTGCGAACAGCGCGACGGCTCCATGGACTGTCAGATGCTGATCACCGTGCAGTTCACCTCCCTGGAGGACAGGGCGGGGGGACTCGGTGGCGGCGGCGGAGCAATCAGCAGCCTCAGGGACAGGTCCGACCGTCTTTTCTTCGAGAGGAAAAACATCACTCTGTACGGGATGTACGCAGAACAAGTGCCCGAGGCGATATCGAGGATGGACTTGGAGAGCATCATGGTGGTGGCCTCCGTGACGCTGTCCTGCGTCTTCACCGCCCTGCAGATCCTCCACGTCAAGAAGAACCCCGAGGCCGCTGCGGCAACGTCCATCACCATGCTCACCATCCTCACCTTGGGGCACCTCACCCCTCTCGTGCTCAATTTTGAGGTCATTTTCCCTAGCAGGAGGAGCCAGTACGACCTGTACTCCACGGACGGGTCACTTGAGCTGAATCAAGTGATGATGAAGGTGCCTACGCTGATCGCCTTCGTGCTGCAGCTACGCCTTCTTCAGCTGGTGGTGGCTGGCCATCTGAGCTCGGCCAACCAGAGTGAACCAGCGACCTCCGTGTCAGAGAAGACCGTGCTGCAGATATGCCTGCCACTGTACCTACTCGGAGGAGTCCTGGCCACGGTCGTCCACATGATCAATGTCCGCTCCGAGGAGAAGTCACTGGTTGTTCGCATCGGCGGAGAGGCGGCCACGCTCTGGGACGAGCTCTTGTCGTATGCAGGGCTGGTACTAGACGGCTTCCTGCTCCCTCAGGTCATCCTGAACGCGTCCTTGTCAAGCTCCAGAGTTCGAGCGATTTCGCCGTGGTTTTACATGGGGGGCACCATGATCCGCGTGGTGCCTCACGTGTATGATGTGGTCAGAATGCAGATCTACGCGCCGAGTATGAGGCCCTCTGACATATACGCGAGCCCTGGCGGCGACCTCTTTGGTGTAGCGTGGGATGTACTTATATTCTGTGGAGCGGCGTTGTTGGCATCGCTCTTGTTCTTGCAGCAACGGCTTGGATCCAGCACCTTATCGCTTCCTTGGCAGAGGAGATCGGGCGGATGTGAGATGGTCTCTCACATCTAACTCAAGTATGTATTAGCTTGTGGCAGACGGGAAAACAATGTACCAGAGTAAAGAGGAAACCAAACTGCAACTGTTTCCTTCTTTTCATGCAAAAAATCTCCAACATGCATGATCAATGTCGTGAGCACCATTTCTTATCAGATGGCTACAAGTATGCTCACACCTTTTCCATGACCATGATTGTACTCTGATGGCACTCAAATGACACCCTAGTCTGTACTGAAATTTGTTGTCCAAGCATTTTGCAGGATGTATATGCTCTTTAGCAAATGAAACACAATCACTAGAAAGCCTTGTCCCATCTGCATATAATTTTGGGTTCCCCGTTCCAACGGAATGCCCTGCCCCTGCACATTCTTATATTGCCAAATGATTTAAGGGCAGTGTGACTGTGTGAGGCCCTGCGGTTGCACACTGCAAGCGACTCCCAGAGAGGTGTTGATCGGGTGCTGAAGATTGTGGAGAACGCAAAACCTGAGCTCAGAAAGGACATCAAATCAGTAACGATGCTAGCTCTTTGGGAGGTTTGGATGCATCGAAACAACTGCACTTTCAGAAACATGGAGGCCTCTGTTCAAGATGTTTTGCAAGCGATAAGACGGGGCATCGACCTTTGGCGACAGGCAGGTGCAACATGCCTGCTGCACCTATTCACCCTACCACCAGAAGGGATCGGCTGAAGCGCCTGCTCTGTCCTTTTTCCCCTCTCGTAGTTGTAGCTTTTCCAATTTTCTCTATTTTCTGATCTTAGGGTAGACTTGTGAGAGTAAGATATTGAGCACCGCAAGTGCTAGAGCTTGTATTCCTCAACTCATATAGGTACATGTTACAGCAAAAAGTGGGAGTAGTGCGCGATGTGCGCGTACAGGGAAAGACCGAGTCATGGTGGACTGGGTCAGCTAGGGCCTGACATGCGTTGACACCCCGCCGCAGCTAGAGCATCCGGCGGCTGGATGGATAAGCTGGACCTGAACTCCTCGAACGCAGAAGTAGGCAGGCCCTTCGTCATGACATCAACAAACTGTTGCGATGTGGGGATGTGAAGCACACGGAGCTCGCCGAGAGCCACCTTCTCTCGAACGAAGTGGATGTCGAGCTCTATATGCTTGGTTCGTCGATGGTGCACCGGGTTAGCCACCATGTACACACTCGAAATATTGTCGCAGTAGACCATGGTCGCTTTGGGTAGCAAGACATGGAGCTCGCCAAGGAGCTGGCGGAGCCATCAGCATTCTGCGATGACGTTGGCGACAACGCAATACTCGGCCTCGACGCTTGACCGAGACACTGTGGGCTGGCGCTTCGATGACCAGGAGATGAGTGCGTCACCGAGGAAGACGATGTAGCCCGATGTCGACCGACGCGTGTCCGGGCAGCCCACCCAGTCTGTATCGGAGTAGGCGAGAAGATCTAGCGTTGGCGAGCAATGAAGATGGAGACCATGAGCCGTAGTGCCGCGCAAGTACCGAAGTATGCGCTTCACCGGCGCGAGGCGCTGATCGCGCGGAGCGTGCATGTGCAGACACGCTTGTTGAACATCATACGCGAGGTCGGGGCGAGTCATAGTCATGTACTGCAGTGCGCCGACGATGCTCCGATACTCAGAAGGATCGGCGATTGGGGCGCCATCGGAGCTGGAGAGCTTGGAGCGTGTATCCACAGGTGTCGAGGCTAGGCGGCAACCAGTCATGTTGGCGCGATCAAGCAGATCCTCCGCGTACTTGCTCTGGGACAGGAAGAAGCCACTGGCGCTGTGCGTGACGTTGATCCCGAGGAAGTAGTGGAGCAGGCCGAGATCTTTCATGGAAAACTCGACGAAGAGGTGCTGTTGAAGACTATGCAGGAGCGAGCTCGAGGACGATGTCGTCGACATAGAGAAGCAGGTACGCCATGCCGCCGTCGCGGTGATAGATGAACAACGACGGATCAGACCGGGCCGCCACAAACCCGATGGTGCGCAGGAAGTTGGTGAAGCAGTCAAACCAGGCGCGCAGGGCCTGCCTGAGCCCATACAAGGACTTGTCGAGGAGGCAGACGTGGTTGGGGTGCGCGTCGTCGACGAAGCCGACCGGTTGCTGACAGTAGACACGCTCCGTGAGCTGGCCTTGGAGAAAGGCATTGTTGACATCCATCTGGTGCACATGCCACTCGCATGAAGCAGCAATGGTGAGGACGACGCAAATGGTGGCAGACTTGACGACGGGGCGGAACGTTTCATCGAAGTCGACGCTGGGGCGCTGGGAAAAGCCATGCACATGTAGAAGTGCATGCTCTAGCCAATGCAATTAAAAGACCGATCTGATGGAAGAGACTAGACAGCATATTATACGTCAACATTCCCCTCACGTGTGGCTCTCTCAGGCCTAAATGTGGACCGAAAGTGGACTACAATTTAATTGCGTCAGCCGGGTCTTAAACTCAAGACCTCTTGGCTCTGATACCATGTAGACTTGTGAGAGAAAGAGATTGAGCACCGCAAGTGCTAAAGCTTGTATTTCTCAACTCATATAGGTACATGTTACAGCTGTTGTGCAGATCGTGCACGAGTGGGAGTAGTGCGCGATGTGCACGTATAGGGAAAGACCGAGCCATGGTGGACTGGGTCAGCTAGGGCCTGATGTGCGTTGACACTTAGGATCAACACCATGTTTGTCTTTTATCCACGGCTTCCTGCTACGATTAATATGAAAAGCCAGCAACAAGCTTATTTTTTTAAATGATATGTATTCCCTAATTCAACTAAGTTTATAGAAATGAATATAAATATGAAAAAACTATTGTCATCGTGGGCAAGAAAAACAATTGCTATGGCCTGGATTTGAACTGCGGTCCAAGAGAAGACCTACAACAGGCTACCACCACACCACTACACATCTTTCTTTCGGTGGATAATAGTCTTCATACTTGACCATACAGAGCCACGTCAACATAATTAAGACATCATTTTTTTTGCCAGTTCCTGTGCGTTGATTAACAAAATTAATTTCAAGCCATTCGATTCTTCCATCTGATTGTCTGTGCAGCCATCCCATTTAATGTCAACAATTTTTTTCAACGTGATATTTTGATTCACTCATCGAGTGCCAATGTTAGTACTTTTTTTTTCTGTGCATTTTAAGTGGCAGTGAAGAAGAGCTATTTCATGGAATAAATGAGTTTCAAAACATTTGCTAGTGGTGTCTACGATCATGCACATCGCATAGTAACCATGTCCGTACAGGCATTCAGTAGAAACTAAAAATTCAATTATTAACATCCGTTGAACTTTTCTAGCATGGCGGGTAAATATGCTTTAGAAGAGCATAGATCTAACCGGCGTAAATAATATGTTATACACGCGGCAAAGCTGATAGCTCGCGTAGAAACACCATGCTATGGCCCCAAGACAATTGAAAAACGTACTCCAGAAATTTTATTATAAATAACATGGTAATATATGTACACAAGAGCTGATAACTCACGTACAAACACCGCGATAACTTTTTACCCTAGAGATAAAAGTTGTTCAAAAAATATACCACTGGTAGTTTGGTGTAAATAGCATGGCTATATACACACATTAGAGGTTGATAACTCACGTACAAATATTCCTCTAAAAAAACTCACGTACAAATGCCACATCAACTTTTCACCATGTGGTGAGAATTGTTGAAAAACATACCCCGGTAATTTATATGTAAATATCATGATAATATAGGCATAATAGTGCTGATAACTCATATACAAACATCACGGCAACTCTTTAAATGGGAAAAATATTATTGAAAAACATCCCGATAACTTCTGTGTACGTAGCATGTAGTATACATACAATAGAGTTGATAACTCACATACAAGCACCACACGGACTTTCTGAAGGGGAAAAAGGTTGTTGAATAACGTGCCTCGGTAAATTATGTGTACCTAGCATGATAATATACACATAATAAAGCTGAAACTCACATACAAACATTACGGTAATTTTTTGAAGGAAAAAAGGTTGTTGAGAAAACATACCCGATAACTTGTGTGGAAATAACAAGGTAATATACACACGATAGAGCTGATAACTCACATACAAACACATGGTAATTTTTTGACTCGGGAAAAAGTTGTTGAAATACACACACTGGGTAACTTATGTGTAAATAACATGGTAATATATGCACACCATAGCTGATAACTCATACACAAACATCGCGGTAACTTTTCACCCCGCGGATAGAAGTTATATCCCTGCTAACTTCTGTGTAAATAGCATGATTATATACGCATATCAGAACTGATAACTCGCGTACAAACACTGCGATAACTTCCCCCAAGATGAAAATTGTTGAAAAACATACTCTGATAACTTCTATGTAAATATCATGGTAATATAGATGTAATAGAGTGATAACTCAAATATAGACACCATAGTAGCCTTTTGAACAGAAAAAAAATTTATTCAAAAATATAATCTGATAACTTGTGTGTAATTGTCATGGTAATATACACACAATAGAGCTGGTAACTCAAATGAAAACACCACACAATTTTGAACACGAAAAAGGTTGTTGGAAAACAAATCACGATAATTTATATGTAAGTAGTATGGTAATATACATACAATAGAGGCGATAACTCACATACAAACCACAATAATTTTTTGACTCGAGGAAAAAAAGGTATTGAAATACACACACCTGACAACTTATGTGTAAATAACATGGTTATATATGCACAACACAGCTGATAACTCATGTACAAGCATCAAGGTCCGACACATGCCTAAAACGAAGCTGGCCCGGCATGACCTACAAAGTTCCGTTTTATAAGTGAGCCATGCCACGTCGGCATGTGGACCTCACCTTGCGGCCCAGACACGACATCAATGATAGATGAAGGTATTGCAGATCTGGTAATTATTTACAATGTGGTATCTTTCGACTCATGCAAAAAAAAGTAGTCGAAACATACCTCGGTAACCTTACTATAAACAACATGATAATTTGTGTATTGTAGGCGTGATAGTTTACGTA